TAAAATGCGCTGGACACATCTGAATATTTGGGTTGAACTGTTCTGGAACAGTGTTGTAAATACAACTTAACCACTGATTTCTAGTCGTGTCCTCTTTTGGAAGACCAAACAAAGTAGTTTCGCTTTCACAACGAAGCACACAGCTCTTCACGACATGGCGGCGGCGGCAACAACAATACTAAAGCGAGAATAAAAGTTACGCCTTCTTTCTTTGCGTGAACATTTGGGCGGCGTTATGCAAATCTTCCCACATATTGAGGTAGGTATGTGGGGGCGTGTTAGAACGAGCTGTTTTAGGTAGGTGTGGCTGACTCTTAACTTTTATAAAGAATATCTCTTTGGATTTGAGATTTTAGTCTTTGCAACTTTACAGATCTTCTTTATGCACCAAGAGCTTGTAACACTCCAAAGAAAAAGGAAAAATTGAAATCGCATCACATGACCCCTTTAATTTCTTTGCGACTGAAGAAAGAAAGACATGAACATCTTGGATGACATGGGGGTGAGTAAATTATCAGGAAATGTTATTATTCTGGAAGTTAACTAATTCTTTAAAAAGATATCAATCACCAATTTACTACATCTTCTAGGGATTAAGGTGTAAAGAAACGTGGGGGAAAAGAAACTCCCCACTTAACCATTAGACCCAAAACTCATCACACAGAAATTCATGTAATAATTTATTTTAAGAGAAAACTGGCAATATTCAGGGAAGAAGCAGCAGATGCTTGTTATAACTGAGATGACATCACTGTGGTTCAAACGACACTGACAGGTGGAGTTACAATTCCCCAATTAATCAAATCTGAAAGCAACACATTCACAGAAGCAAGAGAGAACAGCAGAACAAAACAATAATACAAATCCATTTAACACCATTTATGTTTAATGGGGGCTTTTATGCTTTTTACACTTTCAACGTTCTTTAGTGTGTAATGTTACTGTTTAAGCATGAAAAAGATCACAGAACTTATAAAGCAGAAATCACTCCAAAACAAGTTATTCTTTATTTTAGTAAGCACTGTTTCTGAACTCCCTCAACTGTCTCGATTGTAGTCCTGAATTTTCTTCTGGGAACGTACACGTCCACAATATCCCTGTCCAGGGCCTGGTTGAGTTGCATTAGTAGTGCGTTGTCACCATGACCAAAAGACTCTGTTTCACAGATCTAAAATACTGGCGCACACGTGATTTCTTACCCAGCTCTTCACATTCACAGACATAAGCAACATTATCAGGGACATTATCAGGGGCAGGACTTTTGAAATCAAATTAAAGATTTATTTTTGCCTTTTATTTGATAGGACAAGTAGTTAGACAGGAAGCGAAGTTGGAGAGTGAGAGAGGGGACGGGATCGGGAAAGGTCCGCAAGCCGGGACTCGAACACGGGACGCCCGAAGCTCAACGGAGCTCCATGTCGATGCGCTGCCCACGAGTGCCGACCAAATTAAAAGACTTTAAGACTTTTTTAAGACCTTAATTAATAACTGGGGGGAAGGCAATCGGGGCCTGCGATTTTGTGTTTTTGCTTCCACCCAAGAAAGGTGTTTACAGCATGAAATAATAATAATTACTATGAATTATTTTGAGCTAAAATTTCACAGACACATTCTGGGGACACCTTAGACTTAATTAGACCTATATTAAATAGTCTATAATTTTTATTTTTTTTTTAATTTTGCAGAGAAACTGTAGTAATTTTTGAAGAATTACAGTCAACATTTAATGCCCACCATTGCACAAAAACTGCTTATTAAAGTTACAAATGACCTGCTTTTGCCATCTGATTGTGGCCACATCTCTCTTCTAGCACTGTCATTTCTGAAATAGCTCCTTTTTGTAAACCTCTTGTAACACTGAGAAGAACGGCAATGTTTTTCCAGAATGAGTTTGCAAATGATGTTTAAAGTCTTTTTGATGTGTGAAACATTTTGCACGTGAAAGGTCTCTCTCCATTGTGAAGCCTGTTACTTTATGTCTGAAGCTCTTTTCATACTGATTGCATGTAAATGGCTTCTGTTCATGTGATACCTAAGGTTTGGTTTTGTTGTGAAGCTTTTTTTACATTTATCTTTTCCAGATGCAGGTTTAATGCTTCTCTCTGGTATGAATTGTCATGTGGTATTTAAAGTGTCCTTTTTGATTGAAACTTCTTCCACACTGTTGGCAGGTGAAAGGCTTCTCTCCAGTGTGAATCATCATGTGCTTGTTAATGCATCCTCGTTGAGTAAAACTTTTTCCACATCGACAGCATGTGTAAGGCTTCTCGCCAGTGTGGACATTCATGTGATTTTTGAGGTTTCCTTTGTGAGTGAAACATTTTCCACACTGTTGGCAGATGAAAGGCTTTTCTCCAGTGTGAATTTTCATGTGGGCAATAAAAGTATGTTTATGTGGAAAACAATGTCCACATTGAGGGCATGTATAAGGTTTCTCTCCAGTGTGAACTCTCATGTGGCTTTTAAGGCTTGCTTTTTGACTGAAACATTTTCCACACTGCTGGCAGGTGAAAGGCTTTTCTCCAGTGTGAATTTTCATGTGGGCATTAAAAGCATGTTTATGTGTAAAACTCTTTCCACACTGAGGGCATGTATAAGGTTTCTCTCCAGTGTGAACTTTCATGTGGCTTTTAAGGCTTGCTTTTTGACTGAAACTATTTCCACACTGCTGGCAGGTAAAAGGCTTCTCACCGGTATGAATCCTCATGTGGACTTTAAGGTTTCCTTGTAGATTGAAACTCTTTCCACACTGTTGGCAGGTGAAATGACTTCTCGTTTCGGTCTTTTGAGCTCTTTTAGATGAGCAACTAAATGATGTTTGTCCAGTTATGGAATCCTTGTATTTCTTACACTGATCTTTATCTTGCATTTCATTCAGTTCTTCACTCTCTTCTTTCAGTGCCATCAGGTCTATGGCGAAAAGAGACAAATACAAGTTAACCCCCATTAAAAAGCAACAGTAAAACAAAGTAATGGCCCAAATCTGCCATTTACATCTACAACAGGGGTGTCAAGCTCAGATTGTGGAGTTTCACAGTCTTGCAGAATTTAGATCCGACACTCCTACCTTTAGTTTTCAAGTAATGAATACCTTGATTCAGGTGTGTTCAATTAGAGTTGGAGCTAAACTCTAGAGCAGGGCTTTGGCCCTCCAGGAACTGAGTTTGACATCCCTGGTCTACAATATTAGAAAATACTCTTTTCAACAATGTTCAGTTTTGCAGAAAAACTGTATTTCTGAACAATATTAGTCAGGATTTAAGCCCATTGTAACACAGAAACTATGCTTATTAAATAGGGTGGCCATATGTGACATTTATATGGGACACATCTTGGCCTGGATTTTTATATTGCCTAAAACATCCAAAGTAGTTTGACCAATAACATGCAGGTATTATATATAATCGACCAATCATGGCGCGTGAGAAGATGAGATCTACAGAGGGCGATCAAAGCAATGCAAATGCGCGCACATGTTTGTTCGTTCAACTTGAGGCGTCGCTGCACACCGATCATTGTATGACACCAAAGTACCGCGAAAGCAATTCAAAAGCTATATATAGCTCTCGTGAATGTCATACAACGATCGATCTGCAAAGTGCAAACAGCCAAAACCTGGATATTTTAGGCAATATAGAAATCCTGGCATGGACACAGCCCGTAAAAACTGGCCATATGGTCACCATATTATTAAAGATATATCTCTCTCCTAGAGCTATTGGATCTTCAACCACATATACCACAACATTCTGTTGGATAGCTTGAGAATTATGTAGGCAGTTGTGGACAAGAAATAATATGCTTTTTGTCCTATCTATCTGACTGGTACCACTTTGTGTAAATAAAGAGACATCTCTTCAAACACAACTATGGAAAACACAACTCTTGTTTCCTTTGGTACAGTATTAACATACCTGCATATAGATCCACATCCCTGCTTGCCTGGACCCATTCCCACACATTACAGAACAATGGATCTAGCAGGTATGCAGCTTATTTTTCTGCGCCAGGGGAGCACTCCCTCGAGGACCATACCCGTGATTTCTTGGACTAAGCAAACCACACTCACTTTCTAGACAGTTTTCTCATTACCTTTTATCGTGCTGGTCTGAATGATCCTCTAGGTCAGGCATTTTCAAACCTGTCCTGGAAGACCCCCAGCCCTGCACATTTTGTATATCTCCCTTATCTAACACACCTGATTCAAATCATCAGCTCGTTAGGAGAGACTGCAAGAATTACATTGGGTGTGTCTGATGTGCAGGGCTGGGTGTTCTCCAGGACAGGTTTGAAAACCACTGCTCTAGGTACACAACTATCCTGTGTTGGTCCTCAAGGGGGACATTTGAGCAATTTGGTTCCTCCTTCACTGTTGGGGAGGTGAGGGAAGACTCTTCCCATTTTTTGGGGGGTAGTTATGCTCCTCAAGCTTTGGCGGACATGGAGCTTGGGCTGCCACTTATGTTATCAGCCTGCACCAACTCGGCTACTGGACCAATCTTGGGGAGTCCAGTGGGGCGGACCCTCCATTGATGTTGGTCCGAGTGGCTGCCACTCCAGACTCTTGTAACCACAGGGCTGCTACCCCAGTCTCTCCATGACATGGTCACCACTTCAGAGTCTCATCACGACATGGCCACCACGCCAGAGTCTCCAGCCATCATGGACACCAAACCAGTTTTTCCTAGTGTCATAAACGTCACATCTGAGGCTACAAGGGCTTGCAGTTTGGCTGACCCACCACTGATGTCCGTGCGAGCAGTTGGTATCCTGACATCCTCAGCGTTCTCAAGCCCGATGGCCTCAGCGGTTCTTCCACCGTCTGCTGCCCTTTCCAGTGATGGTGGTCACCATTTTGTGTCTGGGCTGTACACACTTCTCCCGAGGCGGCGGTGAACGCTACAGAACCTCCAGAGGAGGTGACAACCATCCCTGAGCTCTCTGCCTGTCCTGTCATGGCTATGGAAGCCATTTCTGAACACTTTCTCTTTGCTTTCTGTGACAGTTCTGCCTGCGTCGCCGCGATGGTCTTCCACTCTGCCTGCTCCGCCTTTGTGGTCTTCTGGCTCCACCCTGGTCTTCTGTTTCACCCACGCAACCAGATCTGCTTGCTTCGCTCTGGTCTCCCGCTCTGCTTGCTCCATCCTGGCCACCCGCTCTGCCAGCTCCATCCTGGTCACTTGCTCCACCACAGTCTCCAGGCCCTCTTCCACTCCATCTGCTGTGTGCCTTGTTTGTCATAGTTACACTCATTAGTTGCCATAGCCACTCATTGGACTATACCCACTCCTTGTTAGTTCCCATAATAACTCATTGGTTCCTTTTGTTCTCCCTTGTATATAGCGCTTGTGTTTCCCTTGTGCTTTGTTACAGTGTTTTTTGCTCATGTTTCCTGTTCCTTGTTTGTTGTGTCCCTTGACTTTTGTTTCCTTTGTTAAATTAATAAATTACCTTCATATAGGACCACATACCTGCTTGCCTGGATTTATTCCCCCACATTACTTATACACACACGCACACACACACACACATATATATACATATTTATTTTAGGGATGTCACAATTCTCGATATAACATCAAACCATTCGATACGACATCCACTGTTCAATACGCGTTTGTGAATTGCGGATTTTAAGTTTTGCGTTTAAATAATATGTGTTTTATTTTTCTCAGAATTGGCTGTGTGTGTGTGTGCCTGTGAGTTCACGTGCTGAGATGAGGAAACACCTCCCCACTTATATTTGAAAAAGCAACACACGCTGAGCATCTTCCCTTATAATGACATGCAATGATAATCCTTTCTAAACCTGTTGTCCAACAAAAGAGAACATTATAACTTGTTTTTACTTCACATTAGTCGAGTCTTTGAAATAACTTCCTTTTGTGATCTGATGTGGCTTCTTATCACAGAATGAGGCAGAAAATTCTACACTGTAATAAAGGCTATGCCAATTAGAAAAGGCTTGAAAAACACACAAACCAAATTGTCGCGGGAGAGTGTTTATTGTCCTTAGCCTACATTTCATCATTCAAAACATTTAACGTTATATCTTCTTTTTATTCAGTTACAGCGGTAGCTTTGTCCATATTAGGGATTTCCTGGAACGTCATCAGTGTTACTTCTATGATGCATATGTGGATTTTCTGCGCGAGGGCGCCCTCTGGCGTCCAGTATGAATGAAACACACATTACATGTGTTTATAGCACTCAATAATGGCCAATCCATCCTATTTTGGGTAACAATCAGAAAAATAATACCTCTCTCAAAAGAAATGTTAAGCAGAAGTATAAAAATCGACACTTTTTCCAGTGTACAGAGGTTTACAGGAGTTTTTTTGTTGTAAAAAAAAAAAAAAAACACTGATGTGCCAAGCTATCAGAACCGAAAACTGTGGTTAAAAAGCGTGGTACATATTGAACCGTGGACTAACTGTATTGTTGCATCCCTATATAAAAATAAATAAATACATATATATATATATATATAAATAAACACCCAATCAAACTATATTTGCAAAACACCATGTTTGAAGACAAAGGGTTATAAACTTTGCCAGAGGAAGGACACTTTCTCAATGGCTCACTTGCCTTCTGAGGGGTGTGACATCCTCACACTGTAAAAGATCACTGATCTCAAGATCAGGGCAGTTTGGAGTTCTAGGATTCTGAATATCCAAGAGAAGATGCTTAACTAAAAGTCTTTGACACACCTTAAACTTGTGCCAGACTCTGGCCAGGTCTTTCCATTCATCAAAGATCCTGTGATTCATCAACCAACTTCATCAAAGACCAACTGGAGCCTTAAATTGGATCAGGACTCTCTTTCAAATAGGTGAGCCGTGCAAGAATCAAGCTTTACACCTTCACATATCCTTTACACCTTTTTCTGTCTGAACTAAGTAAATGGCTTTAGATTTGCTCAATATCAAATTCTGCCATAACTTCATACTTTTATTCTTTACTGCTTAAGTTTGAAACCTTTTCCTATGCCAACTGTGTGTATGTGTGTTTTTTAATTTTATCGCACTTGAGGTTATTCATTGTTTTGCTCATAACTGGAGTCCCTAATGATGCAAATTTTGCTATGTGCTCTTAGTATTGTACCATAAAAAAGTTGTTTTCCATAACCAGGAAATTAACACTTCTTATAACTGATGGAAAGTTAAGACTGAGACATCAAGTGAATACTTACAGCTCATCTATTTATAATTAATTATAATTATAGTTAATATTTTATATTTACCTTTGAGCTAATTTGCTACAAGTGCCACAGGTCTCAGTATTAGCTCCTCTGCTTTCAGAGGTGTAGAGTGTAAACCTGAAAACCATACTTGAGTAAAAGTACAGATACCTTACAATGAAAATTACTCCACTACAAGTTACAAGTCACCAATTTCAAAACAACTTGAGTAAAAGTTTTCGAGTATCTGATTTTAACAGTATTAATATAAAATACTTAAGTATTTTACTTATAACACTCCCCTCTTCTCCTTCTGTCTCCTCACTGAGGCATACCTCAAGTAAGCAAGGTTTGGGTTAATCAACCGAGAGTTCAGGGTTTAGCAGAGGGTAAGTTAACCCTGCTTTCTGAAATACCCCCAGCTGACTTATCAAGACCACATTGCAAAAACTGCTCGATCTTGCAGGTTTGCATTGCACAACATCAGAAAGATCAGGCCCTTTCTAACGGAGCATGCTACACAACGTCTTGTCCATGCCCTTGTAATTTCTAGGCTGGACTACTGCAATGCTCTTCTGGCTGGACTTCCATCAAGCACAATCAAACCTCTACAAATGATTCAGAATGCAGTGACACGACTGGTCTTTAACGAGCCCAAATGGGCCCACGTCACACCTCTCTATGTCCCTGCACTGGCTACCAGTTGCAGCTCACATCAAGTTCAAGACACTGATGCTTGCATATAGAACAGCCCACAGGCTCAGCACCCGCCTACTTCCACTCACTACTACGAATCTACATCCCCTCCAGAAGTCTGAGATCTACTAGTGAGCGACGCCTCGTGGTACATCACAGAGAGGCTCAAAATCACTTTCCAGAACATTTTCATTCACCGTTCCTGGCTGGTGGAACGATCTTCCCACCCCAATACAGAATGCTGATTAGCTGACAATTTTAAAGCAACAACTGAAAACTCATCTTTCGTCACCATCTGACTTCATCTTAAAAAAAAACAAAAAAACTTTGCTTCTAGTAGCTCATAACTCGCAGATTTAGGAGAAAATCTTAAAAATAATCGGCGTCAGTCTTAAATTTAGGACTCCTAAATTTTTGTTTTTCACAAAGCGTTTTAGCGCTAAAACTAGCTCCTAAATCTGTGAAACGTTAGGAGTAGTGAAGAGGACTCCTAAGTCACTAAGACCAAATCTGAACTATCCTAAAATGGCTGTTGCCAGCAATCTACCTCGGAATATAAACATTTTAGAAACATTTGACGATAATGAGCTTTTAAAAAGGTATTGGCTTTGGTTTGGAGTATTTTTGATTATATCCTTAATATATAGCTGTTCTCGTGTCCAGTTTGGTTTTCTTTTATGTTTGCATGCCTTACTATCAGCCATGATTATTCTACTCTGCTAATTAAAAGGCTGTTTATATCCATATTACCAAAATTTTATTAGTCGCAGAAAAAAAAATTCCACATGAAGTGGCGAAAACATGCAGTCCGAGACGGACAAATCGTTAACGGCTGGTCTATGTGGTAATATAGTACATCGGGCAGGACACCCATATGCTCTCCTAACATTCATCGACCTCAAATATGGCTTATCTGAAATATGTATGTAGTAACAACTTTACATGGCAGCTCAATCTAATGTTAGCCTAGAAAAAAGTGCACAGTTCACGTGTTTGTGCGGAGTGTGGAAGCTGAACAGTAGCGAGCTTGGGCTACTGCAGGACAGATGGAGGCGCCGCTGCGATCATTTGCTCTTAAAATACTTCCTGTATGACCTTTTTGGTCATACAGATAAGAGTAATGCATCTTTTGTATCTGTAAAGACTCTACGTTTATTCGTGTGCACTCAGAACAACAACGAAACATTGCGCTTTTGTAAAATAATGAAAGCAAACAGGATGCGCTTTCTGCCGTCTCGGACTCTGTGAACTGGAGCGCATCACTTCAAAACTCCGTGTATTCTTGCCTTATTACAGACATGAAAACGTTTATTCGTGTGCACTCAGAATAACAAAGAAACGTTGCGTTTTTGTAAAATAATGAAAGCAAACAGGATGCGTTCTCTGCCGTCTTGGACTCTGTGAACTTGAGCACATCACTTCGAAACTCCGTGTATGCTTGCCTTATTACAGACATGAAAAATATATCTATAGAGATTGAAACTTTTAAATAAACCAATTCAAATGGAAAATAAATATTCTCAGATTATGTAATCCGTTTGAAACATGCATGCAGGCGCATACTGCGGAGATGACGAGTCAGTGTCGCCGACTTCATCTCTTAAACCAAAGTACTTGCTGTTTTTCCCTAACACATTCATAATTATTATATTTGCCGGATAAATTTTGGCCATATCGTCCAGCCCTATCTTAAATAGTCTTAGACTTAAGGCTTGTTCACACCGGGATGAATATCGCGTGCGATTATCGCCGGCGTTTAACGCCTCGTGACTAAACAAAGGGCGCCAATGTGGGTGTGCACACCGCGAGGCGTAAAAGTAATTTTTTTTTTAAACGCCTCGGGCTCGTTTTTTTGGTTTGATGCGCTGCGTTAAAAACTGGCCGACCAATGAGATTGGCGCTTTTGTTCACGTGCCTGGAGCTGCTAAAGTTACAGTAAAACACGACTTGGTGGCGCTGGCAATAATCGTCCCGGTGTGTACGAGGCTTAATGCTTAAAATGAACGACTACTAGTCGACCAGAAAAATCTTTAGTCGACGGCAGCCCTAATGCATATTGACTAATTGTTTACGAGAAGCATACATATAAGAGGCTGACAATTAGCTGAATATAT